TTACTTCATCATTGGAAATTTTAAAATATGGAGTGCCACAAGGATCAATCCTGGGACCGCTGTTGTTCATGTTATACAAAGGGTTTACTAGATGTATTAGATGATGCTGAAGTCTGTCTATATGCTGGTGACATTAGTTTACTTGTATATGGTAATACCTTAAAAAAGTAGAGTCAATAGCAAATAACCAATTTCCATTTGTAAATACATTTTTTAACAACCAAACCTTTTAGTTAATATAAATAAGACAAAGTGTATATATTTCTCAACATATCAGAGTAATAAACAAGCTCAACACAGAATTTTGATGGATGGGAAATGCCTAGAACAACTGCAAAATTTTAAATTCCTAGGACTTGTATTGGACAAAAATTTTAATTGGGACCTTCATATTGAACATCTTGGCCGTAAAATTTCATCGGTGTTTTTGCTCTGAGACAAATGTCTAAATTATGTCCTTTGGAAACATTAAAAATAATTTACTTTGCTTTTATTCACTCCCACATCTCCTTTGGCATAATTTTATATGGAGCAACCTCTCAATGGTTCATGCCTATGGGCACAGACATAAAATCAGTTTTTCAAATCACAACTTAAAGCTCTTTGAAAAAAAACCTTCATATGCTAGGATTCAGTTTTATAACCTTCTTTCTACCTGATAATATTTTACAAATAACAGACAAAAATAAATTTTAAAAACTTGTATGTTATCCAAGCCCGTTTATTCCCTAGACAAATTTGCTGGTTGACTGTGTTGTAAATTTGTAAGTTATAAGTTTTTGTATTTTTATTTACCATAAAAGATACAAAATAAAAATAGTACCAATTTTACATTTTTTATAATATACTTTAATGTACGGTAATTACATTAAAGAAAGGCTTGTAAAAGCAAGCAATGTTTAATATGCATAAGTAATTAATTAGAATGTTTTACTGGATGAAAGACCCAGGGCAAAGCTTACAAAGCTCAAAAGATAATTGTTATCTCTGGATCTTAATACCTCTAGTGGTGTCATGCCCCATGCACCTATTCAACATCTCTTTGGAAAATATAATGTTTCCATTATAAGTAATTATTTTAAAATCCCGCAAAAGCATTACATTTTTAATTCCATGCTAAGTATAAGAACTGTTTGAATACTACAAACCCCAGCAAAGTACATGTATGTGGATGTCACTACTTACACATCCCAGTTCTGACTAAAATTTACTGAAAAATTTATTTCTGCGGTAATTAACCTAGTAACATTATAATTTTCTAATAGCGTATTGATTAAGAAAAAATGAATTATCTTTGGATTCCAGGCTTACTTGGAACCAATGTTCCAATATAGCAATATCTAAGTTGTCCAGGGTGTGGGTGTTCTTTACATAGAGATCTTAAACCATGTGTGCCTATTCATATGCTAACAGCTACTTTAATTAAAACCTATTCATTCCCATTTTTTTTATGCTTATACGTTATAGAACGATAGTGGTGGAATTTTATATACGGTAATTATATAGCGAGCAAAAGTTGTTTAGAAGACTAAATATTGACAATTTAGTTCAGTATAAGTTTTGACCTAGTACTTCAAAGAGATATTAATTAACAACATTATGTACTTGAGGTTTTTACTTTGTGATTGTTTTAAGGCTATTGGTATTGTTACGGTATGTTGTAAGAAAAGTCTATTTGAATAACTTAATGTTATGCTTCAGCTATGACAAACAATATTTTAGATTATTTTAAAAACAAAATCATAAATTGATTGCAATTATTAACACACAGCCAAGAATATCTAGTGTAAAATGACAGCATACATTAGAAAATATTTTGTTGTTTACATGTCTGAAAAAACTGCTAACAACATAATTTATGGAGTTGTTGTTTTAAAAATAATTGAAAGTGTCGCCAAAACAGCAAAACATAGTTTTACAACAACAATGCATCTGTGTAAGTTGAATAAATAAAGTATGTGTCTCAGGAGAACAAGAAAGAAGTGGAGGACCCTTAAGAGAATTTGAAGATGGGGCTGGAGTACCGGCATTTTATTAATTATTTAAATATTTTTGTTTATTTTTTATAATAACTGATTGGTTTATATTCAATTTCTCGTGTTATGTGTAAGTTGATTGTTGCATTCAATAAGGACAGCCTGTCAGGATTCATGATGTGCCTGACCTATGCAACTGAAAATAGTGAATTTGATGCGTTTTGCTATACAACATTTCTGATCTTGGCTTTGTTTGATAGCAAACCAAAGTTGTTAAATACAGGTTTTCTAGATTAAAAAAATTAAAATCAGCCATTTATTGTAATTTTTGTTGGAAAAAATAAAACTTCTGAAAAGTTTATTATTTATTACTTATTTTATTACTTTAAGTAGTATGCAAATTGACGTAACAATATCTTTAAAAGTTTTTTAGATACATTTCTTTAGGAAAATTTAAAAAATAAAAGACATATTAGTAGTAAGATGTTTTTCGACAAAAATATTCATGAATTACTCTTAATTTTGACTTAAAGAACAATTTTTTGAAGTTTGACAATTTACTTATGGGACACGAGGAGTTTAAAGAGAATTAATGATCATTAAAATTATAGAGGAAAAAAAAAAATCCAATGTAATAACATGTTTAAGGAGGATTGTTTGTTCTATGGATAAGTATGTTTGATTTTAGAAGACTGCCTTTACTATAAAACTCATTTTTCCATCAATCTTGTTAAGTCTAGAGGTACCTATTTTATATTACACAATTTCCCCTTTAAATCACAGTCATAATTCAATACCTAAATCTGATTTTGTTCCTGATAATCTCAAGAAAAGTCACACAGAACTTAAAAACGTGCTTGGAATAAAACTTATTAAAATGGAAATCAAAATTACAATGAGAATCTGTAACTGACAGAAGCCGTGCAATTCAACATTGTCTGATTAAAATGTTCTTTTTGCCTCAAGTCCATTCCAACCTGGATGACAGCTTAAGTGAAGTTTCTCTTTTCTTTGTGTACCCAGAAAACAAACTGATTTAACATCAGTTTACCTTTGATTTTAACTACCACCAAGTATTCACAACAAAATTAAATTTTAAATTGAAAAATACTGCTTAAAATCCAATTACTCATTTCTTATTAGTCTCAGTATATACTGTAAAATATATTTATGTATACTGTGGCTAGCAAGGGCTGGTTTTTCAGGACTTCTGTGTTTCGCATGGGCTTGGTGCTCTTTAAATCTAGTTTGGTTTTTTTGTTTTGTTTGGGAAAACTTAAAACTTTTAAAATAAATTATGATACCTTAACATCTTAATTTGTGGGAATCTTATTTTATAGAAAAACAAACCATAATTATTTACTAAATAATGAAGACGGCCCAATTATTAATTCTGAATTACTAAAACTAATTACATCGAAAACAACATTGATTGATTGATCTAAATAAAAAAAAGATATTTTTTCTAATATTATTTTTAATATATTTTTTAAATATCCTTTAAATATAATCTGTTTAAATTTTATTCAAAATTATTTTACTATTGAGTAAATATTTACTTTTTATATTGGTTTCAACACAGCTTGTAGATGAAAATATAGTTTTCGAAAGCACTTGGGAAATAAAAAAAAAATATATTGACCTTTTGTATCTTATTCTTACATTACACTAAAAAAACAATGTCACAAAGTATGAGCAACACAATAATGGGAAACTGATTAACTTTTCATCTACTAAAGGGTAGTTATAGAAGAAAAGTGTTTCGCAAATGGGCCATATTTTAGAGACAAGTGACATAAATGTCTTTAGAAGAGCAAAAATCTATCCTCACATTGCCCATGACAACACTAAAGTAGTGTTATGTTTCCTGTACACTGAACCAGAGTAGGAAAATAAAAAGTGAAATGGACCCTCAAAACGATTAGTGTTGGTAATATTTCCGAAGAAATAAGACTTTGGGCCATTAAAGAATTGTTTTAGAACTTGGCTTTTACCCTCGTTAAATATTGAGAACCGAAGCACAAAGTTGTCTCGGTTGCCCAAGTTTCTTTACAGTTCATGGTTGGGTTATTGGGTTCATAAAAATGTCATCTTGTTTATGACCTTCGATGAAAACTGAGAGTTTGCTGTGACCTGAGTGTTCTTCAGTGTTTGAAACTCAAACTTCACATTGTATATTGATACATTAGGTAAAATTGGATTTAGATTTTATAGGATTGAAAGTAATAATTTTGTGCATTCCTGATTACAAAACACTGACATTGTTTTTCATCTACTAAAAACCCTTTTTTACTTGTCTCTAATATAAAAACCAGAGGTGGTGTTCTTCTGTAAGCTAAATCACTTAAAATATTTAGATCAAAGAAACTTATATTTTTGTCTACTTGAAACCAAGAATTGGATGGGTAACAATTCCAAAACAAGCAGCTTAAGGAGGGAAAAAGTTGGATAGGTTTTTATGATGACCACAAAAATATTGTTTCACAGTAAGTTAATTTGTGTTTTGTAGTTGAATGCTGGACAAATCAATAAATACAGATTTAAACATTTGATGTCATGAAAAAAGTAAAAATAGCCAAGCAACTAATTTAACTGTTAGTAAAACTGAAGAATGATAATGGTGGTGATGATGATTATACTACAAACTTTTTATGATAATAATTACAAAAATTGTATTGCCATGATGATACTTGGTCATGAAAGATTACAATTTCATTATTGATGGCCTCTTGTCAGAGTTTACACATAAATTTCAGTTACATATGTTACTAATGTGATTATGGATGTACTATGTGAAAAACTGTTTTGAAGTACTGAATGTACAGCAAATCTCTTCTCATTAAGCTACAGATATTTTTAAAAACAAGAAAACAACTTGGAAAAACAAAACGTAACTTTTAATACTAGTTAAACCGGCACTAATTGGACACAAGACTCTTTGAAAGATAAGTCTAGTTCAAATTAAACTTCAATGAATCAATCAGATTCACAGGTAACCTAAACAATTTGTAGTGATCAACTCACTCATGTCACGACTCTTGTGGCATTCGCCGCGTTTGTCCTGGATGTGGAAGGGCAGCGGTGTGGGAGCGTGCTCGCCAATGCAGTGGTTGAACAGTCCCTGTCTGTAGCCTGCTGCCATCAGCCAATCTGTAGACGCCAACGCCATGATCAGCAGTATTATCACTATCAGTCCACATATGAACGCTATCACCTGTAACACCAGACAGAAACATTAGGAACACACAGTTAGACCTGAGTCAATACAATGAAGTCAAGTAAGGAACCCACTTAAAGTAGACAAGCATGGTATTATCGACTAAGTTGTATGGTAGAAGGGTGTCTTGGTGCTGTCGAAGCTTTCTGAACCTTCATAACACTCCTATAGTGCTTAAACATTTGATTTTCTTGATTCACAAGGTAAAGGCTTAATTCTGATCAAGCTTATAGATAATTTTGGTGGAACATCTATACTAAAAACAAACAGAAAAACTGAGACAAGAGACCATAAAATCAGGACTTTGTTTATAGTTATCATACAAGAGCAACACCAAGTAAATCAAGGTAAGTTATGGTAAGATTAAACAAATTAAAAACATTTGTAATATTTACAAAGTATCATAAACCAAAATGTTGGATCAGAGAGTAAAGTTGGAACCAAAATGACACTACTAACCAGTTCAGGTGCAGAGAAAAAGTTATGGATAGGACAAGACATATGTTCCCCGTTAACAGTTAGAAGAATTAATAGAATAGTTAATAGAAGCCAAGTAAATCTAAAAAAATGAAAAAAACCACAACATTGAATTTTTGCATTCTCCTTATGATCAAGTGAATATCTATGCTAAACTTTCCAAACAAGATTATCATCTGCTGAAGAGTGACCTCATTCTGAAAGCATAACTCCTCACTATGCTAAATGCCACTAGGTAATTAATTATGTTAGGTGTTCTTAAATAAATTTTTAGTTTATTAGAGAAATAACTAATTTAGCTGCTGTAATTCAGCTCTTATCCTGGAAAAGCTCACTCCAATGGCACTTAATAATAGAACAACTCGAACCGATTTCCTATCTTGTAGTAAACAACGTTCAACTGTGGGCTGAATGATTTTGTACACGTAAGAAAGTAAATAATAATGAAAAATTAAGCAATTTAGCTTCTTAAAACACTAACACTTATAATGTTATACATAGAACAATATATGTCATGAACATTTATTCTATAGTCTTCTACAAACAATAATGTGCTCTATTTACATACGTCACGTCTCATAGAGCTTCAACTTTGGTACTGTTAAAAGTTACATTTTTAATTTCACTCCCACTTCTAACTCTACATTTCTAAACAAGTGTTGATATTTTTCAGAAAAGACTAAAATAAAAATATCTGTACACTGAGACAGTTTTCGATAAGTACACAGTATTCTTCTAAAATATATTTTGCCTTTATACGTAAATAATATCTGGTTTAACGTTTCAACTTCAACCATAGTATTTCATTTTAGTTTAGGAGCCAAAACTAAAATTGAAAAAAAATGTTGATGACAAAAATGGACAACTGCTTTTGAGCACTTTAGTTTTGAACAGCGAACTACAGCCATTTAGAGAGGGAACATAACCCAGCCAAAAGCCCTTCATGGTAACTGTGCAAAAGGAAAAGTTCTGTGAATGTGGAAAGTTTACAAATAACACATCAACGCATTCTGTACAATTTCTTTTTACTACTGTTCTTTTCTTAGAAGTAGGTGAGTTCACTAGACTACATTATTCAAGATATGTAATATGTTTCATGATTGGTTCTTATTATATCAATGTAGCCAAGAATAATTTACTTAATGTATAAAAAAATACAACTCTCTTCTAATGTAAAATAAAGGTGATGCGGTCAAACAGATTCTATAGTTATTTGTGTAACTAGTGCGCAACGTGACACTTTGCTGCACTTGAGAGGAATGGAAAGTTTCTCGAATGTTACATCTATTTTCCTACAGTTACTATGAACCATATAAATTGGTGATTGTAAATACAGGCACAAGTTCATTTGAACTTTTACCATGCAGTTTTAGAAATTAATAAATCCCAAATGAAATCGTTTCACAAACAAATCAAAGCCTAAATTAAATTGTTTCACAAATTGACAAATACAAATCTGGATGAAACTTCACAAACATAACGAATCAACATCTTAATGTCATTTTTGGTTTGTAATGTCTATGTGAATTATTGTAACACTCAACATTATAGGTTAAGTCCAAAGTGTTAAGGACAAATAAACACTGCACCAAGCTGATAGATTTAGTTACACAGCTGATCAAGTATTGCCAAGTTTTTTAAGGGTACACGTATCACGTGTCTAATACATGCACACTATTTTGTGTTGTTTTGTTGAATTACCGGAGTCTTGGAAAGTAAAATGAGTGCGGGAAAGTAAATAAAAAGGCAGGAATCAACTACTTTGTGTGTTAATCAGTGAAGAAGACCAGCTTTGTCAGGTAACTGAAGAAAAACTTTTATTTATATATTTATTTATTGCTCTTTACAATTTTTACATTGTTTAGCATTTTTATATTGTGTGATTCTAATATTTATAATTACATAGGGGTTATTTTATAAAATTAAACTAATGTCTTTATCCTGTACAATAAAGAGGTTAAAGATTCAAAAGTATTCTTTAAAGCTTCTGAAGTTGTACAACTAATCTAAAAAAAACAACATTTAATAACTGTACAAAATAATAAGTCTTTAAAAACTGCAACCTATCTATTGAAACCACAAAAGAAACTGCAATCTACAAATAGTTCAATAGTCAAATGTCAAACAGTTGTTACAAGTTTTTACAATACAAGTTAAATCGGAAAACAAAAGCAACATCGGACAACATATTGTTTGTCCCTGCCACCTCGGATGAAATGAATGAGTCATTTTGGCCAACTCAAATGTTTACGATTTTATCTAATTTATTTTGGTTACATTACTCTTTTTAATGAGATTTACTAAATCAACTTTATTTACCAAAACAACTTTTTCCATCGAAAGAAAGGCAAGTGATTGTGTAAAACCCAATCAGTAGTTGTGGCAAAAGTATCTAATAATGTTTTAAAAAGTTTCAGTTCATCAATTACAGACACAATTTACACTGAACAACACAAATTCCACCCTAACCACTAAATAACATTTGTAAGAAAGTCTGATACAGGTGAAATATTTTGCTTGAAGAAAACTAAACAGAATAACCATCAGGATTTTTTCTGCATAGGTGTTGGCATAATACAAAAACACCATGTATTTGCCAAACTGGCAATTGTAAGGTATACTTGAAAAGCGGTAACAAAGGAATTAAGGATTTATAACATGTCACAAAAAGGGCAAAATGTATGAGTGATGTTATGTTAAGTCATTAAACAACCCAGTAATAAGTCAATTTTATCCCCTTGCCAGTTATTTTAGCTAGTCATACCTGAGGGAAAAACAAAACACTGCCTGACATAAATCCTTGCGAGAAAAGCTTCAGTTGGATATGAAACAAAAACAAGCCCCCAATAACTGAGTTGACCGAAGCAATATCGACAGCACCGAATGAAATTATTGGTCTGAAAGCTTTCACTGTATGAAAATAAAATATTTTATTGGCATCCAGTGTTTTCTAAACAAACGTACATGTTTATGATTCTAGCGGCTTTCAATCAAGCCCATAAATGTAAACTTTTCATAACATTGTTAATGAAAACACTGTTGTTGTCGTTAAGTTTATACAGCAAAGATTGGATTTGTTTGGGTATGGTCATTTACTTTCCGATACAGTAGTAAAAACTCCATTTATGTGGACCATTTCTTGCCAATTTTCTATAAGAAAAAACAGTTGAAGGATCCACTTACAGTGCTACTGTCGAAATCTACACTCTTAATTTACTTTTTAATTTTGATAAACAATAGGTTATGTGATAAAAATACCAAACAAGATTTGATAAAAAAATTTGTCTAGCCAGAAAATGGAATGACACCCAAAAACAATTGACTAGAGTGCTTAAATGTGACACATAAAAAGTTATAGCATCCAAAGTTTTTGGACCACACTAACTGGACTGTTGTAAACACTGGCGTGTAAATAGTAGTAGCAAGACGGGTGTAAGCTTTTTTTGTCCTAGGACGCTAGGCACGAGCCTGGGATTGTTTTTCACATTACTTCAGGCTAGACCTAGGAGTTGCGGCATTATCACATGGATAAAATTCATTGGTGACTTGGCGGGGATCGAACCCAGGACCTCAAGGACTGAAGTCCCGCGCTCTAACCACTACGCCAGCTCGCTCCCCCCAGCTCGCTCCTCATAAGCTTTAGTAGTAGTAATTGTTGTAAATACCTAACTCTGTTGTTATCCAGCTTATGAACAAGAAATACTCATTTCATTTTCTGCACGACTCAGCTAATACAATTTATTGTCAACGATTCACACACTTCAGTCTCAATTGCATCTGCAGTTCCTCAGTCACATGTCAGTCAGTCTTCCGTCCCTTTATTGCCAGTAACGTTACAGTCAAGAGATTATTTTTTATGAAAACACAATATTTTATCAATATCTAATAGTCAATCTTAATGACTGTAACGAACAGTAGTTAAATATAAATACACTTATTTAAATAACAAAAAAACTGTTTTTTATGCCAAACACATACACTACACGTCTGTTAGGTGTCCAAACAATCCTAAAATATCAGTGGGAAGAAATCTGAAACTGACCGAATGCCGGCAGAGCGACTGATGGACCTGCGTCGGAACTATGTCGAATGAGAGTAGGTAGATATCACAAAAAAAATCCATTAGAGAATACATTATTGGATTGTGAGGTGACAAATGTGACTGAACTGTGACGTGCCGAAACTGATGTATGGGAATAGACCTTAAAATGATCAGATTTGATTTGAGACAACTGAAAACAACACTCTGCTAACTCTTTGATCAGATAGAAATAAAAGAAAACTTAAGTTACTGTCGACAAACACCAACTCAAAGTGAATTCTCAAAGCAGTTACCAAAGTGAATGATTCAGTGTTGGCAACACCATTAATTCCGTCCTTCACATTGCTTTTAAGGCTGGAGTTAGAAAGTCATAAGTTTGCGACCGGGTGATTTGTGGTGTTCCACATCCTTTGTTTTTGAGCCCAAAACAAACACAGGATTGTAGATTTATTGGGGTGATTGTGTGAATTAAGTTTGA